CGGGAGTGGGCGCGGGGGCTTTGCCTCACTTCTTGCCTCCTTCTCGGGTGATTTCCATACCGCCAGCTCGCACCCGCTGCCCCAGCTCAGCCAGCCCAGCCCAGCCCAGGGAATTTTGTCCTGGCTCTGGCAGCAGTGGGGTAGCTTCCTGTGGTGCCAGCAGCCGCTGCTGCTGCATTCTGCCTCTTCCCCAAACTGGGACTGCTGGGCTTGGGGAAAGGCCTGGGGGCTTTTCCCCAGTATTTCTTTGATGGAGAATGGAGTAGAGGAGGCTCTTGCCCACTCCTTCCCCAAATCGGGATTGCATCTGTTCCCTGCCTGTGTGCCTGTGGAGGGGCACAGTTCCACGCACGCACACTCCCAACAAGGTTGGGGTGCAGCCTGCCATCTCGGGAAGTCCTATGGCTGCTGGAGGCACTTCTGCCTGTGGTCCACTGGTGTCAAAGCATAGGCACCTGAAAAGGGGGGAATGCGGCCCTCCAACCGATTTGAGTTCGATGCCCCTGGAGAGATGAATCTGAAGTCCCACTCCAAAATAAGAATTGAACTGCCCTAGTTATCTCAGCAAGGTGCCATGCTCAGGGACAACGATTTAAAAAAAAAAAAAGTAGATGTTACTTAGCTGCGTTGGCTTCTGTCCCTGAGGCCTGAGGAAGGACACTGTGAAAACACTCCAAAGCCTGCACAGGTCTATCCCATCAATGCAGTTTGTCCAACAAAAGATATCGCCCACAAATATTCTTGTCCTCTGGCCTATTTCATGGCATCAAGGTTGCCTCAACACTACAAATATTAACTATTATTCTTCATACAGGAATGGAGAGGGAAGACTTAAATCTTAAATCTAGACTGACTATGCCATAAGTGTGTGGTATGTAGGAAAGAGCCCCCCACCTTTTTTTGGGGGGGGGCGGAACTAACCTGCCAGTTTCATTTCATATAATTGGAACTATGTATACTTACATTGTTAAAACTGTACAGGGTCAAATCACTGCCCAAGTCTAATCAGTGTAATATTATTTTGCTTAAAGCGTCCGATCTACCCAAATTTGAGTTGAAGAAAGACTTCTGTTTACTTTATTGAGGCTTGGGTCAAACTCTGTTGCTTGTTTTCTACCTAATTTTTATTAATAGTTCTTTAATTTGCAGTGATTGTTTTCTGTTTCATTACATGGTGAGGAACTTAAGAATTTTCACTTTATTTTGTGAATAGTGGAAGGAGACTAGTTCAAGATCAGAATTAAAAGCACAGAATAATAATGATTATACCTGACAACAGTGCTTTTTTAAGATTGAAGAAATTATCTTTGCAATGACTCATTCTCTATATAAATGAAATGCATGTTATTTTTCCCTTCTTAGCAGTTACCATTAGAGAAGATAGAAATGTCTCTCTATGTGAATTTGTATTTCAGATGCTTCAACTAAACTTATTTTTATAGGGCAGAGACTTCCATATAAGAATATTATTGCCATCAGATTTTCAGCTAAAAAATGCAAGGTGAGGTATTTTTTTTCTCTACTACATGAGAAATGTGCTTACGTTTCTGTGACTGCACTGTAATGTAGGCAGTGATGATGTGTGTAAGTATGCATTTATAAATAGATATTGGCAGTTCTTACTATTTGCAACCTAACTGGCAACAGTAATCTGTAGCATCTTTGATTCCCCCTCCACCATATTCTTGGTATTCTTGGTGAGTAGTAATAAGCTTTGATAAACTTCATGGCTTACTTTACAATAAGTTTGTAAGAGTTCATTGTTGGTACTCCTGTGTACATAGACATACATAAACTATGTCAGTAAGCAAATGTTTTTGAGAGGTCAGTTAAATTGGAGGTGTATCAAGGAAGTTTGCTGTTAAATTAATGTTAATGCAAAATTATATTTGAGAGAGAAGTCATGTCTTCCCCCTCCCCCCCATAACAAACCTTGTTTTGTTGTTTGTAGATACAACAGAACATGTATTATTTTTTTTTAAATGTTGATTTTACTTTATTAAGACGTGTTTTTACTTCACATCAAATGTACTTCTGTATGAATGATGTATAAATTGAAGGATCAAATGAACATTAGCTTGCTGTGAGTTTTGTGTGCCTAGAGTGTATCCAGAATCTTGGATGGGAACACCAGGCAGTGTAAGACTGCCAGACATGCTGGGTTTCCTTTTTTGTCATATCTGAGGTGCAGGATGATATAACAATTAAAATAATACTTTTTATAAAGTGTAATATTTCTAAACTACATTTTCTGCAAACAAGCCGTAGTCAATTATTTTTATTAAGGATCAAGCTCTTTGCAAGTCTGCAGTTTTGGAAAAAAGTTATTTATTTTAAGTTTCCAGAGACAAAAGGCCAAACTTCCCTAGTTGTTTGCATGTTCAGTAGAAGATGCACAGATGTCTAATAGGGGTGTGTGAAGCGGGCCGTATTTAATTCAGATTCAGCCCGATTTGCTATGGCTGAATCCAAATCTGAAGATGTGATGCTGATTCAGAGAATAGGCGATTAGACCATAGACACAGCTTAAAATGTTTTTTCTACATTACCTCGAGGTATCAGGCGCAGCATGCAAATGCTGAGATGGTGGGGCAGATGGAGCATCCCACAGGAGCGCAGGCCCCCCCCGCCGCATGATCGGCGGACCTGGAAGCGGACCCTCCAGATTCAGGGGGCACCAGTCGCCGGGGTGGGGGGGAGGGTCCCCCCTGTACGCTCCGCGGTGGACCCGGAAGTGGACCGGAAATGCTTCTGGTCCACTTCCAGATCTACCACCAAGTGCACTGGGGACCCCCCCACGCTACTGTGGGACGCTCCATACGCCCCACCATCTCGGTGTTCACGAGCCGCACGGTACCTTGAGGCATGTAGAAAAAACATTTATAGCTGTGTCTATGGCCGAATCATTGAATCTCTCTGAATCAATTTGGAGGGTTCCGATTAAATTCGGAGAGATTAAAGGGTCTCTTGATTTGATTCGGGTTCACAAATTCAGCCACCGAATTGGGCTGAATCTCCACGGAATTCAATCAGTGACTAAAGCTTCTTACAACCTTAATGTCTAGCTCGATTTTAAAAAGTAACCATGCTCAAATTATACAAATGTGGCTACTTCACACTTAGTTACAGCAAAAACTGTTAGGCTTAGAACTAATATACAACTTCTGTCCAAAGGCAATGATTTTTAGTTAGTTATAGTTGTGATGAATGTTGGTATTATTGTTGAAAGTACGAGTCCAGGTAAGATGGCGAACCCATTACTCTAGTCAGTTTGCAAATACTATATAGGACAGTGGTGCTAAGCCTGTCCTACCATGGGCTGAATGAATGCTGCGAGACTTGTTTGAAGGCTGGATCCTGCACGTGGGTATCATCTGGCATATGGGACCATGTCATCCAAACTGTGGGGTTTTCCATGGGCCCAGAAATTTGGCAGAAGGGGAGAGGGGTTGCGTTAATTTTTGTACCTCTGGTAGCAATTAGTGCTGCTACTGCTGCACCTTGTTGCTTAATTTTCTGACCTGTGCAGACCCCCATGGGTAAGATTACAAACCTCTGCCGGCCTGATCTGAGCACCATAGCTGTAAGAGATGGACTCTGCCCCAAAAAGCGTAGTTCAAGATGTTCAGCTTTATTCCTTTGAACAGTATTGCAATTAGCTTTTCTCTTCTCTGAAGATTAGTAGAATAAAAAAAAAAATAATTCTCACAAGATTACAATGCAACAACTAATTTGCTCTTGCAAACTATTAATGTTTATACTTCTTAAATATTATATTTGAATTGCCCTCTTAAGTATCCCAACTCAAATGTGTAGCAGTCAACTCTGACATTTTCAGAATACCATTTTTAAAATATTAGTGGCTTTTATGAAACCATATTGACTTGTAAGAATTGTGTTGTTTTCATCATGGAATTGAGGCTGGCTTATAGGTAAATGTCTACTTATTAATTTTTAAAGAGCTGTAGACAGAATGACATTTAAAAATGTAAGTAACTCATTGAGTGGAAAAACTCAATTAAAGTAGTCTGAAAATATTGTTTTGTTCTTGTGTTTTTTGGGAAAAGGAACTTTTTGATCCTCTTAAATTATAAGACAAGGTTTTTTTTCTTGCATGCTTTCTTGTTAAAAGATTGCTTGATCCAGGTTAACACTGTGTATGAATCCTCTATTTCTAGGATACAGTGCAGCTGGCAGCTACAGAGGCTATTGCATGGATATCGTCAGATTCTAAAACAGGTATACTCTTTTTATAGAAACTTTCCTGAGCTATACATATGAATTTTCTAAATTTTGTACTGTTCCACTCTCCAAAAGTGTTAAAGAGAACCTTCCACTCATACAGTAAAGACAGGTGCAGATGCAAGACGGGGGATACAATGGTACAGTTGCACCTCTTTGATTTCTGGTCCACCCAAAGTTTTAAAACAACTGCCTACCATTTTTATTCAGGCAGCAGTGAGACAGTCCCTTGTCCCTATGGCTCATTATAATTAGGGGTGCACTGAAAAGATTTTATGGGCTGATACTGATGACTGATTATTAACAAGCCATATCGACTGATGCCGATATGCAGCCTGGCAGCTTGGAGAGCAGTGTCCAGCTGGTAAGTCTGTTGCGGGGAAGGGAAAGGGTGTGGTGAGGGAGGGGGCAGATCGAGGTCTATGTTGTGAGGGAGGGTTTGGGGCTGGGGCAGGGACAGGTGCTGCTTAGCTGGGTTGGGACGCGGGACAGAACTGAGAGTCGGGAGGGGTGCGGATCCTACTGTTGCGCACACCCCGGAGGGAGCCAAGGGGGTGTGCCTCCCAGATTGTGCACCAAGCAGAGTGGGTGGGCTGCTGCTGTGGGCTGGGGCCGGGTGCTGTGCCAGCCTCTTCCCAGTGGGGGGCCTGGGCAGGGCTGCGCTCAGGGTGGGCAGTGGCAGCGCTGGAAGGGGTGGCTACGGGGTGGGGGCTACAGCCACTCCAAAATTCATTATAGCTCCCCCTCCCAGTGCTGCTGCTGCCGCCTGCCCTGAGTACAGCCCTAATTCAATCTCCCTGCTACGAAGAGCCTGGCTCCACCTGCAGCAACAAGCCACCCTTGCTCCACACACAGATCCAGGGGATACCGCCCTCCTTTCCTCCCCTGAGGGTGCACGGAGTGGTGGGATTGAGCCCTCCTCCTCATGCCGCCTGGGACGAGCCAGTCATGGATCCGTCCTGCACCCTGCCCCAGCCCCTTTTCCTCTCTCACCATAGGGGCCTCAGTCTGCCACCCCCAACATACCCCTTCCCTCTCCCTTGCCCTCCAACAGACTTACCAGCTGGATGCTGCTCTCCAAGCTGCCGGGCTGGCCGCATGCATGCTGTGGCTGTGCTCATGCACGCAGCATTTATCAGTGACATTATCGGCCATATCAGCCAAAAAAAGCTGATTGCTGATAATGTCAATTTTCCTTTTATTGGTGCCGATACAATATGGACCGATGTATCAGTGCATCTCTAATTATAATCTACCTGATCCCTCCTAAACTCTTCATTCCACAGGTGTTAACAACCCTCTCCTTTTTGTTGGTATTGATGTTCCACTAATCGAGCCAGCCTTTCTTCCACAATTCTGAAGTCTGTTACCTGTTCTTGGTAATGCTGCCCTTATTTTACGGCCTTGCCGACGGTTTTAGGTAGAGTTAAAAACAATTAACACAGTGTGGAAACATTAATTCATGTCTAGCAATAACATTCAGTGAAGCATTGGATGTACCGTCAAGATGCTCAAGAAGGGTAGATTTTGTTTTATAAATCTGAAAAAGGAAATGTACATTTCATTATAATAACTATAGAATTAATGAAACAATGTATTTTGATTATTTTTTTGCTCAGTCTGTTATTTTTTTTATACATAGTACATCATATAGCTAAGTAAATGCATATTTCAATTAGGTTATTTGTTTTTGCTTCATTCTTAAACTGAATAATATAGCCCTAGGCCCTTCTCTTATTAGTAAAGCATCTAGTTGTGTTTTTTTAACTGGAGAAAAATGTTAGGTTAGAGGTGATGAGGCACCACATCATCTGTTCCCTGCTTTTCAAAATCCTACATCTGCCCATGAGTAAAGATGCAGATTTATATGGATTTTGTAGGCTACTCCAAATATATAAGAATATATTGTAGTCAATATATTGTTTTTTCTGAGAAGTTTTAACTTTGAAGATTATAAGATGTAACAATATATTAAACAGCTGATACTGCATAGGATGATCTTATTCTGCTACCTTTCCCTCTCTTTTTTCATGTTCTTTGCCAACAGCACTTAGTATGAAAAGATTATTTGCAAGAAATGTCAATTACAGGAGCATCAGCCTCCTGCTATGATGACAACATTCTAGCTATTGCTTTCTCATGTACTAAATGTTTCTTTCCAAAACAGTGGCATGATTCCACATTACCTAGAGCAGGGGTGTTAAACTCACCCACCCTGGGCCAGATTGGGACCGTGGGGTTCCTCCCAGGCCAAATTAATGGAGCTAATAGTAAATGTGGCAGGATCCATGTGGTAGGGGTCCAGCAAGGCCAAGTGAGGGCTATATCTGCAGAGCACTTATTTTCTATCCTCCCCACTAATGGCAGTATCCATCAGGGTTGAGGGACCTTGGATTCTGTGCCTAGAAATTGCATGTACACCAGTATAAGTGATTGGAAAGTGGCCTAAACCTCTAACAGAACAGACATTCAGCACACATAGACCAGGTTCCACCACTTTGAAACCAGTCTAAGATAGACCTGGATGGATGTAGTATTAGACTTAATTGGTTTAGGTTTGAGCAGTATATCAAACTTTTGTACCATATCCCGTAGCAAATCGGCTTAGTTCTCTGTCCTCTGGCATCCCAGGCACCAGTTGCAGGACTGTCCTAGCTGTGGCTGGTGCTCATTCATTCTGGGCAAGCATCGGGCCAACCCCACCCTCAGGCAGTCTCAGAGAGGAGCCAGAAAAGCCTCTTCTGCTTGTGCAGTGGGTGGGGAGAGAATGGAGCTTCTGCTTCACAGCCCCTGCCCTGAGCCTGCACAGCAGGGCTGCCCCCTGCCCACTCCTGTTTTTCTATAGAGTACTCCCATCCCTGGTGCAAACCACCTGGGCTACTCAGTGCATCTTGCTGGCTGCTGCTGGTGCCAGGCTCCGACAGGACACACTGGGAGACTTGCACCGGGCAGTCGGGGTGGGAGAGCTCCCTACAGGGAAGGAACTGGCCCTGCTGTGGGCCACCTGAGCTGCCCAGCGCATCCTGCCAGATCTTGGCACCAGAGGCAGCTGATGGCATGCACTGGAGGGCTTGCCGTGGGGCCCAATCTTTCCTTCTATGGATTACTCCTAATCTCGCTGGCTGGTGCAAGATTTCTGGGCTGCTCGGCATGTGCTGCTGGTGCTGAGCTCAGGCAGGATATGCCTGGCAGTCCAGGAGACCCTCACTGGGCAGTGGGATCCAGTCCTTCCCTGTATGGAGTGCTTCCATCCCTGCTGCCCAGCACAAGCCTCTTGGGCCATCTGGTGTGTTCCACTGGTGGCGGAAGCAGCAGCAGCTGCTGCCAACAAAATATGCTGGGCAGCCTTGGGGTCTTGTTCTGGGCAGTGGGGACAAAACCTCCATAGAGGGAAGGATTGGGTTCCTTGGGGCCTGGTCCTTCCTTCTACAGAGATGGGCTACCCATGATTGGCTGTTGGGTGCATGCCTGTGGCCCTGCTGTTGCTGCTAGCCCTCCCGTGTTCCTAGCCATTGGCTTCTGGGGGTGGAATTTCTATTGCACGCCTGGCAGCAGCAGGGGGCGTGCGCCATGGTGGGCCCCTCTGGGGCTTGCCTGGGGCTGGGCATTTGGGGGAGGGAGGGAGCAGTCTTTGGTGGCAGCAGGGAGTGGGGGGTATGTGCCTGGCAGCCAATTAGGGATGGCCCCTGCTCAGTTGCCCTCTGCATTCTCTGGCACACTGGGAAGTGTGCAGGAGAACCCCGCACGTTCTGGCCTAGGGTTCTCTGGTCCTAGGCCAGTGCAGGCATTTGCGTGCCTCCCCCCCTCAATGGGCAAATGTGAGTTCCCTTTGCTTCTGATCCGATCTACGCAACTTAGAGAAACCTGCGTAGATTGGATTAATTCTCTCTCTGGCTTTTTAGATGTCTGTACTTCCCCTATGGCTGGCTATACCTCTGAGCCCTCTCCCCTTGACTTTGGGTGGGTGGAATGGAATGGCACCATGGGACAACGTATTTGACATCCCAACTGTAGAAGAACAGTGTTCCTCTTGAGCAAAATTTAGCCAAACAGGGAAGATATTTTTTTAAATACTGAGAGAATTAAGGAGGCTCCTTTCTGATTGGTGAACAGTTTAAGTTAATTTACTAAAAATTGATACCATTTTTATCATATAATAAAACTTGGACTGAAAGGATTTGTAATTTAATTGAAATATAGTTTAAATCTGCTGCATTTTACCATATTTTATTTGTTTTTATTTTATTACAATATCAGAAAACGGGTAATAAAACTAAAACTGTTTCTGAAAGCATTACTGAAATTGAGGAAATTTTAACTTTTAAAAAAAATTTCTCGGTAGAGGTTGCAATACTGTTCTGATCTGGTCAGTTTTATGGAGGAGCTGAAGACGATTTTGGTGAGTAATGCTATTTTTTGCCAATTTTTATTATTTCCCTTTGTTAAGAAAAAGAATCTGTGTATTAATTTAAATGAACCTTTTAAAATTCAACATTAACCTTTTCAAATGATGTAGCGCTAGGGCTGCATGCACTTAGTTGCTGTTGATCTAATAATTACCTTTGGAGTTAGAATTCTTCCTGACTAGACCACTTTGCAGATTAAATAAAGCTGCAGCAGAGGGCCCTGTTTTAAGTATTGCAACAAATGTAATTCTTAGTTTGTTAGAGCTCCCTAATACTGCCTAGGTCGATGAGAACAGACTCTTAATGACTATACAAAGGAATAATTCTTTGGTCCTTATTTACATTTGTTTAAAAATAGCCAATCCTTGCCACCATATTGAAGAAATGTGTTCCTAGTAGCATGATTTGGAGACAGAGTTTATAATGTAGTACTACCTATGATGCCTGACTTAACTGAAAAACAAGCATCCTTAAGGTGTATATAACTTCTTACTTATAATATAGATAGATTTACATTGGTAGGAGGTAGTGTCAACAGCACTAGGGGTTTTTCCTTTTTGCAAGCTTTGTATTGTTACTGCTAGTAGCATATCTGCCAACTCCTGCTAACAACTGTAGATGGGAAGACAGCATTTTAACTAAAGTTAATTTCCATATCAAGACTTATCTCTACAGTGTTGTGGTCTCAGATTATTTCATTCAAACGTGCTAACTATGGCTTGTATTGTTGCGACTTGTCATAGTCAAAGCCTTAGTCTTTAGCATGGATAGACACAGCTATTTATTATTAAAAATCCATTTGGACAAAGTAGAACATGAAAATGTTCTTGTATTTATGCGTACTACTATCAGTACTCAGCTGTTTATGCATATTTCTATCTTGCTGCTGACCAGACGGGAAGCAAAAACTGCAGCATATTTAAAACTGCAATTTTTGCCTCCTGGCTATCAGGAGTGAGCAGTGAGGCTGATGGAGCCCCTCTGCCAATCAGTGGGGGAAGGGGGGGACACGCAGGGGGAACTCAAGGATTAGAGGAGCCACTGCACTGTGAGCTGGGCCCGCGATTTAAACCAGGCCCTATTTATAGAGCACAGAATAATCAGAGTTCCTTGTTATATGTGTAACTATATGGTTATAAATGCAGATGTCAGGTGGTTTATGGATAGGATTGGTGATGTCAAAATTGGACATAGTATCTTTTTGATTGTTTAAAAAAAGTCTCTTTGCATTTTTCCTTGTTAAATCACATTTTATTGTTTTCTGCTCATTTGTCCAACCTGTCCAGGTCTGCTTGTAGTTGTTCCCTGCCCTCTGGTGTGTCCACTTCTCCCCACAGTTTTGTATCATTGGCAAACTTGGACAGAGTACACTTCACTCCCTCGTCCAAGTCACTGATGAAGACATTGAAGAGTATCGGTCTAAGGACCGAGCCCTGCGGGACCCCACTGCCCATGCCCTTCCAGGTTGATACCGACCCATCCACCACCACTCTCTGGGTACGAACCTCTAGCCAATTTGCCACCCACCGGACTGTGTAATCATCCAAGTCACAGCCTCTTAACTTGTTCACCAGTGTGGGGAGAGATACCGTATTGAAGGCCTTCCTGAAGTCTACGTAGACAATGTCTACCCCTACTCCTGCGTCCAGGTGTTTTGTAACCTGGTCATAAAAAGAGACTAGATTAGTCAGGCATGATCTACCTGCTACGAACCCGTGCTGGTTTCCCCTCAGCATCATTTTTCTTGCTGGGCTCTCACATATGAGCCTTAATAATCTTTTCAAAGACTCTGCCAAAGATGGAGGTGAGACTGACTGGCCTATAGTTGCCTGGGTCCTCCTTCCTCCCCTTCTTGAAAATAGGGACCACATTGGCCCTTTTCCAGTCCTCCGGGAACTCAAAACGAGTGCTCAAATATTCTTGCCAGTGGCTGTGCAATGACATCAGCCAGTGCCTTCAGTACCCTCAGATGGAGCTCATCCGGGCCCGCCGACTTAAATGCATCCAGTCCTTCCAAGTGACTCTGCACCATCTCAGGGTCAGTGCTTGGTAGTCTGGCACGCTGCTGTTGCCTTTCTACAATCCCATTGTGAGACTTGTCTTGCCCCTCGTTTAGGAACACTGAGGCAAAGAACTAATTGAGGAGTTCAGCCTTGTCCCCCTGTCTGTCACCAATTGCTTTTGCCCGTTCAGTATGTGTGGGCCGGGAGTGGTCCGAGGCCCTCGGGGGCCTGCGCGTGGCGGGCTGTAGCCAGCAGCCCGGACACGCCGGGTCGGGGAATGCAGGCCGGCGGGGTACAAATAGGCAAGGGTGC